GAATTGTGCTGCCATAAACATTTGAGTGCAGATGTCTTTATTATAGAATGTCTTTTTTTCCTTTGGGTAGATGCCTAGAAGTGGGATTGCTGGATCAAATGGTATTTCTATTTTTAGTTCTTTGAGATATCTCCAAATTACTTTCCACAGGGGTCATACTAGTTTGCAGTCCCACCAGCAGTGTAAGAGTGTTCCTATCTCTCCACATCCACGCCAACATTTGTTATTTTGGGACTTTTTGATAAAGGCTATTCTCACTGGAGTTAGGTGATATCTCATTGTGGTTTTGATTTGCATTTCTCTGATGATTAGAGATGTTGAGCATTTTTTTATATGTTTGCTTGCCATTATTCTGTCTTCTTTTGACAAGTTTTGGTTCATGTCCTTTGTCTACTTTTTGACGGGGTTGTTTGATTTTTTTCTTGTTAATTTTCTTTTCTTTCTTTTTTTTTTTTTTTTGAGACAGAGTCTCACTCTCTTGCCTAGGCTAGAGTGCCGTGGTGTCAGCCTGGCTCACAGCAACCTGAAACTCCTGGGTTCAAGCGATCCTCCTGCCTCAGCCTCCTGGATAGCTGGAACTGCAGGCACACGCCACCATACCCGGCTAATTTTTTCTATTTTTAGTTGTTTGGCTAATTTCTTTCTATTTATAGTAGAGACAGGGTCTTGCTCTTGCTCAGGCTGCTCTTGAACTCCTGAGCTCAAGCAGTCCTCCTGCCGTGGCTTCCCAGAGTCCTGTTAATTTTCTTAAGTTCTGTATAGATTCTTGTTATTATCCCTTTATCGGATGTATAGCATGCAAATATCGGGATGCTAGGACTGGTTTATAGCCCTATCTTCAAGTCCCCAAGGATCAGTCCTTGACAGTGCTTGGGAGAGGTGCGCTGGCCTTGGCCCTGTATTGCCTTAGGGGTTGACTATGCTTTTCTTTCATTACTTGAAAAATGTTATACCACTTCCTTCTGGCCATCATGGTTTCTGTTATCTGAATTGTTTTTCCTCTGTAGGGACATTTTAATTTCTCTCTTGCTGGTTTTAAGAATTTTTTTCTTTGTTTTTAGTTTTTAAAATTTTGACTACTATATCTTGCTGTGGATTTCTTTGGGTTTATCTTGTTTGGGATTTATTCAGCTTCTTGACTCCGTAGGTTTATGTCTTTTGGCACGTTTGGGAAGTTTTTTGCTATTATATCTTCAAATACTTTTTCAGCTGTATACTCTTTGTCATGTTCTGGCATTCTGTTTACATGAAAGTTAGATCTTTCGTTACAGTCCCACCGGTCTCTGAGGTTCTGTTAAATTCTTATCAGTCTATTTTTTTCTTTATTATTCACATTGAATAATTTCTATTGTTCTATCTTCCAGTTATTGATTCTTTTCTCTGTCTCTTCCATTTTGCTGTTGAGCCTATCTATTGACTTTTGCTTTTGTTATTGTGTTAATTTTCCATTTGGCTTTTCTTTGCTGAGGCTTTCTATTTTTCATTTGTTTCAATTGTGTTTGTTATTGGTTGTTGAAGCATTTTTATTTTGTCTGCTTTAAAACTCTTTGCAGATAATTCTAATATCTCTGTCATCTTGGTGTTGTCATCTGTTTTTCTCAAGTTGAGATTTTCCTGGTTACCACTATGACAGGTGTTTTTTGAGTGAAACCTGCATATTTTGGGTATTCTAAGACTCTAATTCCTATTTAAACCTTCTGTTTAGCAGGCTGCCTTTGACACCACTCTAGCAGAAGGGCCTGGCACTGTCTCATTGCTGCCAGGTGGGGTTAGAAGTCCAGGTTCCCCACTTGGCCTGCATGGACACTGGAGATGGGGAAGGATTCCTTCTTATTGATGGTGGGTGTGGGGCCTCTGGCTCCCAACTAGGCCTCTATGATATCACCCTGGCTGGGAGGGGGTGGGGTGCTTCATTACTGCTCCTCATTTGGCCTCCAGTGACACTATTAAGGGGGTGGACTCATTACTGCTGAGCAGGGGTGAATGCCCTGATTCTCACTTGGCCTCCTCTCATGCCACCTGAGCAAGGAGGGAGAGTGGTCCCTGTTACTGAGGGTGAGGATGAAGTCCAGGCTCCCCACGTGGTGGTCTCCACTTACAGAGGGTGGGAAGGGGTGTGTAGGGAGGAAGTGGGACTCCCCAGCACTCAGCAGAAGTGAATGTCCAAACTCCCTATTCAGCCTTCTCTGACAGCATCCCAGTGGGAAGGGGCAGGGGGCACCAGAGTACAGCCTTTAGGGGTACCCACTTAGCCTTTGCTGTCCTGAGTGGATTTGAGTCTGCAGTATTTGGCTGCAGTAGAGCAGTTATTGTCTAAAAGCTTTCTGTCTTGCTAGGCTGCCCCTTTCCTGGTCCTTTGGCTTGGGAACAGGCTTCTCTTGGGACTTCTTATCTTGTACCTGTTGGTGTTTCCAGTTTGCAAACTTTTTTAGCTCCCTGTCGAGGGTATATGAGGCAAAATGAAAACCCAAGGACTTCCCTACTGTGCTGTTTCTTAGGTCTCTATAAGTTTGCCTTCTTCTCTCCATCCTTCAGGGTCTTCTTACGGTTGTTTTATATAAAATCTCAGTTTTTTATTTTTATTTTTGAGAGACAGGGTCTCATACTGTTGCCCAGGCTGGAGTTCAGTGGCACAATCATAGCTCATTGCAGCCTTGAACTCCTGGGCTCAAGCAATCCTCCTGCTTCAGTCTCTTGAATAGCTGGGACTACAGGGTGCCACCACACCCAGCTAATTTTTAATTTTTTTTTTCTTTGTAGAAATGGGGTCTCTCTTTGTTGCCCAGTCTAGTCTCAAACTCTTAGACTCAAGTGATCTTCCTACCTCAGCCTCTCAAAGTGCTGGGATTATAGGCACCAGCCACTGCACCTAGCCAAAATGTCAGTTTTTTAGTTGTATTTAGCAGGAGGAATAAGGAAAAGTAGTTCTACTCTATCTTCCTGAAAGCACAAGTCCTGAGATGTATTTTTTCTTGGTGTTGGTGGTTATGATGGTGTGTTTGCATGCTGGTCTGAGTGATTCAGGAGTGGGGAGAATTGCAGCAACAGAGTCTAAGCAGGTAGGAGCAGCTGGGCTCCAGTGTGCCTGGCAGGGCTGCAGACAGGTGTGTCCTTGGGAGGATGGGCATTTTATTCTCATTGTCTCTAGTTTTGTCAGTGTGGCAATCCTAGGACTTTTTGCTCCCTGAGACATTCTTTACTCTTGCCTGACTCTGCTCTGAATCTCAGGGTCTGACTCTGGCTGGGCTCCAGGGTCAGCAGCTTCCTGCTGGGCTCAGCCAACAGGAGTCTTGGCTGGGAGACTGGGGGAGGCAGGAGGCAGAAGCTGGTACTTCTCTCCATTCCACTCTGCTTTGGGACAGCTCTTCGGGGCTCCAGCTCCTTCCAGAAAGGCCCTCCATGGTTTCTATTTTCACCTTCTCCCTCTGCTTCACAGCCACAGGGTGGTGGAGGTTTCCTGCTCTATTAATCTCTGGGCTCTGGTTAGCTTCTCAGCATGTCTACCCACTGTGTAACCAGTTTCTGGGGTGAAGTACTCAGAGCAGCTTCTAGTTCCTTCTTGGGCCCTGGCTGATTCAGTCAGTGAAGGGAGGAAGGGGCAGAGCGAGCAGCTGAGACTGGGAAGGAGGGTGGGCATGTGAGAGTGTGAGGGGGAAGGCGGAGGATTGTGTGATCCCTCGGGAGACACAGCAGGATCGCAGGGCTGTGCTGGGGCCCACCTGGGGATCCTGCGCATGGATGCCACGTGCAACCGTCAGCAGCACGGAGGGCTTTCTGTAGACGTGTTGAGCCACTTGGGTGCTGGCACAGAGTGGGCAAGCAGGGTTGGGAACTGGCCACAGGTAACAGACTGACTCCAGGAGCCCTATCATCCCCACCTCCTGCTGCTCACACCCTGGTGTGATCTCCTCCCCTTGAGTGTGGGCAGGACCCATGGCTGACCTCCAACCAACAGAATATGGCAAAGTGACGGATGTCACTCCCCTGATTATGTCACATTATATGACATTCTTCCCTGCTAGTAGACTTACTCTAGAGACTCTCCTTGTTGCTTGATGAAGTGAACAGATGTACTGGGGAAGCCCACATGGCGAGGGGCTGCAGGAAACAAGTAGGAGGTGAAGGTGGCCTCTGACAACTCCCTCAGTAGCAGCATTAATCCCTTTGGGGGGCAGAGCCCTTGTGACCTCATCACCTCTTAAAGGTCCCACCTCTCAACACTGTTGCATTGGGGATTAAGTTTCTAACATGTGAATTTTGGGGGACACATTTAAAGCCTATCTCCAGGCTGCTGCAAAGCCAAGGTCGTTGCTGGGGTTGTGGGATGCTTGAAAAATGTAAAAGGATAAAATGGTAAATGGTTTGAAATATAATCCAAGAAGTAGGACCCCATAACCTTACAAGTGTAGTAATTTTTC